TTAAACTCAGCAAATGAATAGAAATTGTGCACTAAAATTTGCAATAAAACTGTAAATTGTGAAAAAAGTGTGTTCTCTATAGAGGATGTGTTAACTTATTTTCACTTAGAAAATCCACAAAACAAGTAATCTGACCAGGTGCGTTCAAACTTTTACACGGGACTGTAGCACTACAACCTTTATCGTGAGCTGTGAAGGTGCTCAGAGTAAAAACACATAAAAAATCCTGTATGAACAGCATTACAGTGTGACAGCGTAGTGTGAGCTTGTGAAACCAGAGCGTATTTGACAGAAATGCAGTAATGGACTTTCATAATGTCCATGACAATAATATCGCTATATGTCTTATAATTGAATACTGACATGTCTAGTACTCACACATATTATGTTTTGCAAAATGACAGTTTAACTTTGAATTATGCTGAATTATGTTTCACTCTATCATGTTCTGAATTCCTCAAAATCATAATCACAGGAATGGCTGACACTGTATCGTTATTTTTAGATGTTGTCACAATACAAGAAATGCATTCAATGTCTCATGCTGTTCTATTCCAATAGTAGCTGGCAGAGGTGCAATTAGCAGGCAGTGTAGCAGTTCCCCATTTCCAAAATGAATCTGAAATAAACTGAAAAAGGCTGAGATTGGATGTTACAGCCTATTATAATGAATTTACAAAGCAAATTATATTCCAAAATGGCTTCTAAAAGCAATATGCTGATGGTAACCGAAAAACGTACTAAAAATTTACAAACAGTACATAATGTTCTTTAATGTGTTTTATTTAATTAAGATTAACACAGTCCAACAATCCAACAATGACGAGTCTCACTGCACTGAAATGAGTGACTAACACCACATTGAGTCCTGAGTAATCATTCTTGCAATATTCTTGAGAACGGAACTGAGAACTGTTCAGCTCTGATTCAAATTCTTTATTTCAGAAGCATTTTAGTTTTAGCTCTACGTTATTACTGTATTCATTTTAATTCTTGGCAATTTCAAGGTTTAAATGCGATACAGTGCACGAGACCTATCCATCATTTATTCAATTTCCAGTCAAAATTAAGTACAAACTTCTTTGTCTTCCAGGGTCAGGAAATAAAGACCCAGAAAACTTATACTCAACAGAAGATTACACAGCTAAATACAACTAAATATATATTTTTTTCAGCATTTAGTGTGTCCATACTTTGCCTTTATCACGGTTTTCAGATTTCAGATTTGCTTTCTGTTTTCAAAGAAATGCGCTGGACTTTTTTTTTCCACACCTTCAAAGTTCTGTCTTAGAAGTTTGTTGGATTCTATGTTTCTTATGATCCAAGTAATCCCAAACACATCCAATGATGTTGAGGTCTGGACTCTGGGGTGGTCAGTCCACTGTTCTAAGAACACCAGCTAGTTCTTTGTTTTGCAATGTTTTTGTCTATTTTCTTTTCTCAGTGAGGGCTTCTTACAGCTACACATCCTTTCAGACCCATAGCGCAGAGTTGTCTTCTCACAGTAGAAGGATAGACAGAAACACATGTAGATATTTTTAGATCTGAAGCAAAAGTGGAGCTTGATTACCCTCTCAAAGATGAGTGCGTTAAGTACTGTTTATTTGATGGGGGGTTTTGGTGGTCTACCATTTTCTCTAGATATTTTCATCATTTTTTAACTGTAGTTGTTACAATTATATTCCTTTGACTTTCCCCTTCCTTGTGAATTATATATAATCTCCCTCTAAATTATCTCCTGAAACATGAACAACTTGTACTTATTGGCTGTTTTGACTGGAAATTAAACAACTGAAAAGGTGGTTTTGACTCTTGCACAGTATTGGATGCTATTATAGCTCCTATTCCTACTAAAGTGGTTAAGCTTTGAGATACTTGGAAGTGTTTACTGTAGACCGTCCAAGTCATAATGCATAACGCTTATTATAAATTCATGTTACTGTTGTGACACAAACGCCTACAGCCTAATTATGTTTCAAATGTAAACATTATACTCGGCTAGAGCACAAAGTGATAAGCTTAACCATCCAATTTTCCTGCTTCTGAGAGAAATTAAATAGCATGATCTTTTCCGAGCTAAATTCATTTGGAAAAATGCCATTGTTTAGCTAATCTCACTGAAACTCTGAATAAAAGGTGTTTAATTGCAAGAATTGCCTCATAAGACACTCTGTTCATTCTTTTGATTGTGCATTCGTAGAATAGCCAGGGCAAGAGGAATCCAGAAGTGTGGCACACAGTGATTATTAGCTTTTTTGGGCCAGGTACTGTAGACACAGCTTCTTCACTCTCGAATTGGTTACATTCAGTCCCAAATGTGCTTTGCCTGGGCAAACATAAAAATAATGCCAGGAAAACTGTCTCCAGCTCCTTTTACCACTGACATTGACAACAGATTTTTCTGTTATCTGCTGCCACTGAAAAAGGAGACCATATTGGGTTTTCAATCACGTTCCACCCACTGATCTGATGCCAAATGTGATTCAGGCAATGAGGCGCATCATACTGAGGAGGGACTACTTAGAGATGATACAGTGACCTTTTTTGCAGGCAATTCTGTTGGAAGGAAAAACTGACCTCGTTTTCAAAACAGTTAATGCTTATCCATCATTGAAATCAAGAGAAGCATCTTCAGTATAGCTGTGTAGTTCTTATGGCTCTTATGACTCAAGTCTGAGCAGAATTTCAAAATTACAACTGTTTACCGCACCATGTGTTTAGGATAATTAGCCCCATGTAAAGCTGATACAGCTACAGGAAGCTTGGGTATTTGTACAAGTTTTCACCTGTTGTTGCCAAGAATGTGAAAAACTAACTGAATAGCTGGAATATTCATGTATAGCAAGGACTTTAATCTCCCCCCAAAGTTTAAATTGTATTTTTATTTATTTAAATTTTCTTTCACAAATGCAGGATTGTTTCAACACTGCAAGAAGGCAACTGACAAATTTCCTATACACATATCATGGCCTGATCAGAGAACTGTTTTCCACAGTTTCATGCTCAACCTTAATATGCTAATATCAGAATGTATATTAGCATGTATTCATGATTTTATGTAGAATTCCTAATAGAGTATATACTGTACATAAGTTCAGAGATGTTTTCTAATTTTAATTTCATGATTCTGCCATATTGTAACATGACTGGTGAAAATCACAACGTGTGTGTGTGAGAACGTGAGAGAGAGGGAGAGAGGTGTGTGTGTGTGTGTGTATGTGTGAGAGAGAGGTGTGTGTGTTTGTGTGTGTGTGTGTGAGTGTGAGAGAGAGACAGAGGGAGAAAGAGAGAGATCTCAAAAGTTAGGGAATCTGGTTTCACTGAATAACCAGACTATTGATTACAACAACGCAGCAGCTGCACTTCTTTTGTTCTACTGTATGCATTAATCCAGTTCTAGCTGTACTCACATGTATCTATTGTCAATGATGACAAGAAAAACAAGAAAAACTGATTCTAAAGCAACAACTTACTACAAATTCTGAAACTATCCAAACTTGCGTTAAATCCAAAACAACACGCATCTCCTCTCCTTATCTACTGAGCTAGTTCTTTCCCTCTCGTCACTGTTTGAGTTCAATCATGGTTGACCTCACTATCTGTCTGCCTGTCTCTCTATCTATTCATAGTGTAACGATACACATTTTCTGGTTTGAAACGATTTCAATCCTGAGCTTGAATTGACCCTTTCATCAGGAGATTGCCAGTTTGATCCTTTGTGATGCCACAGCCATCCATGGCTGGGAGTTCAAGACAGCATAACTGTCCCCACTCTCTCTCTTTCTTTCCACATTACTCAGTATCATGCTAACCAACGTGGGTGTCTGTTAGCTGATGTAACAGAATTGTCAGTGTTCTCTAAGCGTGTTGAGCTGTCCAGTAATGTGTGTGGCGAAAGAATGTGGTGGCGCTTCATACATCTTGGAAGAAACACGTGCTTGCCTTCACCCTCTTATCTTGGTAATACAGTGTGATAGGTGGAGACCTTGCTAACAGTGGGAATCTGCCATGACTAAATGAGGGAGAAAACTGAACTGCTTCATAAAACCGAAACCTTAAAACCTTATATAGGAAGTTTCTATTCCTGGGTCTCCAAAATGAAAATATCAACATGGCATAAAATTCAATTCTGCACAAAATCTACTCTGGGCCTCACACTAAGCCTAAACTACAACTAAGTACATGTTTTGCACATTTTGTGGATTTCCCAAAAGACGGCAAATGAGAGACCCCCCGCAGAACAGGGTGTACATTTCAATATACTGTTTAAAATGTTCATAGTTTAAATTTTTCCATGCAGTACTGAAATCGTTACACTCTTACTATCCATCAGTCTATCTATCCAGCTATCTATGTTGCTATCCGTTCATTTATTCTTCTAGTTTAGTAGTACTTATAAACGGGGGGAATAAATGACTGAAGGGTGGGTATTTAACTCTTAACCCATTATCAATGCTTCACTTTATAAACTGTATTTATTCCCTGGCACTTTACGGGATGTCATGCCATCTTGATCTGATTGCCTTTTTTGAGTTGTTTTATTTTATTTCGAGAATTGGAAGGTGTTGTTAATTGAACAGTAGATACTGTTGTTAATGTATTTACATAACTGGGTCTTTCTGTTTGATTTTCTACTGATGCTGGGGATGCTTACGAAGGAACACTGACCTCAGTTGAAGGCTTTTTTCGCAAGTAAAAAGACAAATTATGAGAGATTTCAAGGGTCCATTAACCTGTTTCTCACTAATACATTCACCCTCTTGCTCTTTTATCCTGTCTTTTACTATATTCAAAACTGTTTTTTTCCCACCCATTTCTAATTTGTGGCTTGCTGCTTCTTGATTTGCTTTTGATCATTCTACTTTCATTTTTTCAACTTATCCATTTTTATTTTCCCATTTCCTCCCCCCTCCCCATCTTCTTCCTCTCTCCCCCCTTCCCTACTTTGCTCATCCTCCTTCCCATTCCCCCCATCACTCTGAAACCCTCTTCCTCTCCAGCTGGGTTTGTGAAGTCGCCTATGTCTGAGACAAAGCTCACGGGAGACACCTTTGAGCTGTACTGCGATGTGGTCGGTAACCCCACACCGGAGATCCAGTGGTGGTACGCTGAGGTTAACCGGGCCGACTCCTTCAAGCAGCTGTGGGACGGTGCCCGCAAACGACGGGTGTCAATCAACACGGCGTACGGCAACAATGGCGTCAGTGTGCTGGGCATCACTCGCCTCACGCTGGAGGATTCCGGGACCTACGAGTGCCGGGCCAGTAACGACCCGCGCCGCAACGACCTGCGTCAAAACCCCGCCCTCACCTGGATCCGAGCTCAGGCCACCATTTCCGTGTTGCAGAGTGAGTGGTCTATATGTACTGTAGTAAATAGATGGTGAAACAACTAACAGTCTCCCCCTTATCCCACCACCTAGCTTCGTAAAGGAAACACTTGTTATCTGTATTATTTCAAGAGCTTTTGTTTATTTTCTAATTAAAGAAATATATATTATATACATGCATATACATATTTTATCAAATTCCTAACGTAGGTAATGCTTTTCTGATTGAAGTTTAAGGTGCCCTTGGTCTATTCAAATGTTCGTCTTCCCTTCTCCTTAAGCAGAATTTGAGGATTCACTTAATTCAATAGACATTCACCCCCTGCCTCTCCTGAACCCCTTGAGCCTCTTGTTGTGGATGACCACAAACCCAGACAAATCCCCTAGTCTCTGTCTGCCTTTCTCTCCCTCCCCTACACCACCCTCCCTCACCTCACATGCAGTCCATCCTGGCTGTTCCCGTGTTGCTTCCTGTCTTGTGTCTTTGAACATCCTTGTTTTGTTACTTTGTTACCTAAACAATCGGCTTAGTTCTTATTTCATATGGATCTTACTGCCAGGATGTTTTTTCCTTATGTTTTGTTTACTTTCTGCGTTGCGTGGGTTGTTTTATTTCCTTCAAAGCCTGACATTATGTGCACTGTCTGTAACATGTAGGCCTTCTGGCGCTTTGAAGTCATAGCGTGTTTCTTTGTGCATTTTGCCAGGAGGAAAGGTTGGACAGTATAAGAAGACACAAGGAGAGGCAGTAGCTATAAACGATTGCTTCTTGAAGCATACCATGTTTTGTTGCCTTCTAAAGAAACAATATGCAACAACCATCATCTTGTTTTAGCAGAGCAACTAATTATAATAACGAAATGGCCTTAAAGGCAGTATTTTCTCTTTTCCATGAATGATTTTAAAGCTGTTATGACCTTGTGCCTTCTTTACAGTATGTGTTTACCCACAAATCAGTAATGACATTATATCCTATACTACTCTGCTGTGTGCGTACCAATTTTCAAACACAATGGGCGTGATTAATTTGTGTATGGCTCAACAAACTGACCACTGAAGCAATGGTAAATGTGGAATGCCGGTCAAGTGCAGCTTCCCTGCACTGCGCTTTCAGGGGCTTACAAAATTAGGATTCTTCCTTCTTCCCTCCTCATCTCTCATGACAGCTAGAACAGTGAATTCTTGAGAGACATTCTTTAACAATGCGGTTTGAGCAGCACACAAGTCACACCGCTCGCTCTACGCACACAAGGACTGTCCACTTCCAGTGTCCTATAATAGCTAATGTTTTCTTTGCACGGCATATTCACTTGTGGACCCTCAGGATGTTTTGCCTTGATGGAGTATCTGATACGAAAAAAGTGGGGCAACTAAAACAGAAAATTCAAAGACGAAGCCCCTTAAGCGTGATATATATTCTGTCATTACTGAGAGTCAGTGTTTTTCATATTATATACATGTAATGTGCACTATCACATGTATATAACAGGCTATACATGCTGACTTCACGGGGAAAAGAATGTATAGTTTGTTGACAGGACTGCGTCCAAAATACATGGTGGTCTTGTCTTGGCTTTAGTTTCAGTGTGTAGATCTGTGCTTGTGTCTACAATCTGTTGTAGAGTGTAGTGAGTATAGTCTAGTTGAGACCTTGCAGTTATATTCCCAGTTTAAACTCTCAATTAACCCATTCAGGCCCCACTTGCAAATACGTTCTGTCATAGCTTTAGAGATAAGCTTTACAGAATGTTGGCAAAAATCCCATTCATCCTATTGAGAAATTGTAATATGCAGCTCAGTTTTTTTGTCAAAATATGAAAATTTAATTTTAAATGATACTTTTTTAGTTCATTTATTTGTGTGAAAGCTATTTTTTGTCATGTATTCAAGCTAATGTTAGCATGGTGGCAAAATTATTGTTTCAACCTACAATACAGTACCATAGAATTTCAAACTGGAAACTCAATGTAGTCAGTCTAAACTCCAACCAAATTTCATTAGGTAGAATGGGATTTTTGTAAAGCTTGTCCTTTCAGCTGTGCCTACGAAAGAAAGCATTTGTGGGTGGGGCTTGGCCAGGTCAGTTTTTAACCCCTAATCCCTCACTGGCCATTTCAATGCAAAAAATAATTTCCATCTCACTGAGGTTATGGTTTAATAAATGCTTTGAGTTAAAGTTCTATTGATCTTCACAGTGATCCCTGGAAGAAAACCACATCATTTCCACAGTGGACAGCAGGAGTAATAAGATCAAATTCATTGATTTACCAGCGCCTCTTCCACTGAGCAGGTGTCCTATAAATGACCTTCCAAAGAGACTGCCGGATCACATGACCCTGAGTGCCTTTTACTATAGCTGTCAAACTATCAAATGAAGTAATGTGCCTGTTTTTTTGTTTTTGTGTAGGCTGAATGACTTTTGCTCAGTCTAAGACAGAGGTGACAGAGCGTGTTTTGTTGCTGGCCAGGAGGAAGAGAAGGAGAACAAGAGAAAGAGAGACTGAGAAAAAGAGATAGAGAGAAAGAGAGATAGACAGAGAGAAACCCCCCTGGCTATTGGACATACCAAACTGCAGGAGAAGGTGCTAGGAATGCTAATTGGAGTCACTCATAGCCCCCCTCCCTCTTCCTCCTGAGCAGCAATGATCGAGGGGTTTACTGTACAAGCCAGTAGCAAGATTATGCCCCCCCCCACAACCCTTCTTTCCAACTGAGTATTCCGGTTGCCATGGAAGGCCTGCCCTGATGCAGCGAGGGAGGAGCTCAACCAGTGATGTACTGTTTAGCTCCAGTACCCAAGACATCGACAAGAATGCTGGTGTCAGCATATTCAAATGCGATCTCTATTTAAAGACAGTATGAAAAAAATTTAGGAAGGAAAGAAAAATACTATTAAGCTGACAGTTAACATGCATTATCCCTGCGGAGTGCTCAGCGGAATATTTGTTTATAGGTACTTCTTGCATGCTAATTCTTCTCTTCCTCCAGTAAAGATATGTTATGCTTGTAAGTAAGGAAAGGTAAGTAAGGTAATGCTTGTAAGTATGGGCATGGATAATGACATAGTAAGTGTAACATATGGGAGCCTGAGGCAGACGGATGTACGCGCTAGTCATGTTTATTAAGGCCAATTCACTCATCATAGTCATAAGGCGTAGCAGGGGTCAGATCTCAAGCAGACAGCAGGCCAATCTAATTCAACACCAGAAAAAACAGACAAGCAGGAGGCCTAGGAAACAACTATACAACGTGAGGAAGAAAGACACTATGCATACAAGGAGGCTATGAAATTACAGTTTTTAGGAACTGGCCCATCCTTTGGCTATCACTGTAGTTACACATGCAAGACTTCTTGAAGGTGGAGAATCAAGAATAAACAAGATACAGGTGACAACAATAATGAGAGAGAGGCAACAGGGTGGAGACATAGGCTCTGGAATAGCATCAGTGAAGTCAAAAAGTTCTATTACAGAATCCTCATGGAGATGAATCTGTAAGTAGATATGAATTAGTCTAAATTTGTGTTATGTAAACAAAAAAAATCTATCAAACTTTAAATCTGTAACTCTACAAGAAATATACTTTCTAATTTTGCAAAACAAGTCATCTGGCTAGGCTTAAACCAGTCACTCATTTCGAACCCATGAAACAAACTTTCCTCAAATTTATGGAATGAATTCCGTTTTAAAACACTGGATGCAGTATTGACAAATGGGACAGTGTTTCATTCAAACCGATCGTTTATTACAGTTATGTGCAGACATATATTTGTCATTTATCTGTGGCTGTGTTGTGTAGGCCCATTTTTCTCTGTATCCATTCCTGCCTCCCACAAAAGCCACAACCACCTACTAGAAAGGAGAGTTTGAATGTCAATGAAGCTTATTACTTAGCTTTTTTAACTGCCCATGGATTTGATTTTGTTTCAGAGCCAAAGATCAATGCCTCTGATCAGGAGATTTTACCACCTAAAAAGCCACAGGAAGACAACCCTCCCATCACCCTACAGTGTAACCTCACCAACTCTCATAATACCCACCAGGAAAGCTTCTGGATGAAGAATGGAGAAGAGATCCCAAATACAAGAAAAGGACTGAAAAACACAGAGTTGATGTGAGGTTCCTGTTTTGGAATATGTATTGCAAAATATCAGCTGCAAAGCTACAAGACTTGCTCTTCTAAAATCTAACGGCTAACATTACATGCTGTCAGAACAAAACTTCGTATCTCCAAAACAATAACCTCACAGGAGAAGGAAATAACAACTTTATTTTTAATGTATTTTGGGTCATTTCTTTTGGTCCCTTCGTCACGAAATTTACATACATTGTAAAGAGCAACAGGCATTTTTAAATGATGCCAAAAACTGGAAAATGACAAAAATGGAGATACAAGTTTGTTCTGACAGCAGCGATTAGGTGATATTAGCTACAGTTATTTGGTATCTGTATCAACTGTCAGTGCTGTCATCACCAATAAAACAGGCACACAGATAACAATACTAACTTGATACAGTGCTGCTTGAAAGTTTGTGACCTTTTCATTATTTTGTGAATTTCTACATAAATGTAAACTAATTTACGATCAGATCTTCATTTAACTCATACCAATAGATAAAGATAACCCAAATTAAACTAATAGCACAAAAAATAAATATTTTTCATTCATTTATTGAACTAAGTAATCTAACATTAAAGATCTTCGTCAGCAAAAGTATATCAGCCCTGTACATGGACTTAAAGGAATCCCAGCTCATTCCCTCTTTACAGAACTGCTTCAACTCTGTCACGTTGGAGGACTTTCTTGCATGAATGCCACACTTTAGGTTCTGTCCTTAATATTTCTAGAGGATTAAGGTCTGGACTTTAATTAAGTCATTTCAAAACAATTCTTCTGCTTTAACCTTTCTTTGTAAACCAAATGGTGATTTTAAGGACATTATCTTTCTGTAGAACCCACCTTCTGTTGGGGTTCAGCAGTTCATGGATAGATGCCCTAACATTCTCCTGCATTGTATTCTTGATACAATCCAGAATTCATAGCTCCATCAAATCACAGAAAGCTATTCTGCTCCAGTGGCAGCATAACAGCCCCAAACCATTATACTGCCACCACCGTGTTTCAAAAAAAGGTTCTTGTGCTGGAATGCAGTGTTCAGCTTTGCTAAACATAACATCTCCCGTTTAAGCCATTAAGCTCCATTTTTGCCTTACCAACATACCATTATTTCAGTAGTCTTGTGTCTTCTGGCTCTTCCAGGTGGTCTTTAGGAAATTCTACACAGGCAGCAATGTTTTTCCTGGAGGGAAGTGGTTTTCTCCATGCTATAACTCCATACATACTATTCTTATTCAGTGTCTGCCAGATTGGCATTAGCCAGTGTAAGAGAGGCCTGCAAATCCTTAGTTGTTACACTGAGGTTCTTTGTGATCTACCAGAATATGCTATGCCTTAGTTTTGGAGCCATTTCTGTTGGATGACCACTCCAGGAAAGGGTAACAATGGTGGTGAATTTTCTCTATTTGTAAACTGTCTGCCTGATAGTGGACCGGTGAAGTCCAAACCCATGAGAAATAGTTTGGGGACCTCTTCTAGCCTAATGATTATTGGCAAATAATTTTCTGTTATTCCCAGAAATCAAAAAGAGACATGGCATGTACTAACAAACATATGCAGTAAAGACCAGACTTTGATAGTGAAGATGTTTGTTCAAATAGGGCAGGGTCAGCCACACTCACACCTTATTGATATCTAACTGATTGAACCTCCTGGCCTTATTATCACATATACCAAACTGATAATTCTAGAAGTTCACATCCTTTTGCCAAAGACAGACATTTAATGTTTGATCACTGTGTTCAATAAATGTATAAAAGGCTTGTTTTATTGGGTACTCTTTATCTACTGTCATGACTTAAATGAAGATCTGATCATATTATCACATTTATGCAGAAATCCACAAACTTTCAAGCAGCACTGTTATCAACGGTTGATCGCTGGGTGAACGAATCTGGTTAAAAATATCACATTTGGCTGACCAATTGTCAGCCAAGTCACAATTTCAAGCATGTTCAACAGTAACTCAGCAATATTAATTTCAACTTGTGATAAATGACTGGCTCACTGTACATACGGCTAGATTTTTCAAACAGTGAATAGTTCCTAATCATTGTGGGTTCCTCTAAAGGAAATATAATTTTTCCTAGTTGCAGTGAGCATTTTGCACATGCAATATATAATATACAAAGCAACAACAGTCAGTTATAATTTACCATGACATTGTTACATAATATATGATTTCCAAAAGATAATACTGTGATGTAACAAATCTCACCAGGGTTTTACCTGACAATACTTAGCAACTGCAGCCCCTACAAGACCTTTCATAGCCAAGTGTGATGTGCCTGAAAGGCAATATCCTGTCAGACTACATGCAAGTAATTCTCAAGTGACAGTCTTGACTGGAATAGACAGCATCATGCCAGCAGCTCTTCTACACAGCTCAAGCATCCCCTCCATTCTCACAAAGCACACAAGTACAGTACACTACCGAAATATGTCCTCACTGATTGAACTAACTTAATTGGCAAACTGGTAATATTCGTTTATAGCTAGTGCATTATGTGTTTGTTGACTTATGTCAGTTACTAGTTACTGGGTACAGATAGGTAAAGTTTAAAGCTTTCAGCACGCATTATGTATTGTGTCATGTATAAAATGTCATTTAGGGTATGGCTGGTTATGGTTTAGCAATGATATAGAAACACAGATGTACAGTACTGTGCAAAAGTGAGAGATTAGTCTTTCATTTATTTAATTTCTAGTCAAACTGGCCATTGAGTGCAAGTAATAAAAAAGCAGAAAACATAAAAAAGGGGAAAAAAGAACAGGAAACATTTAAAAGAAAATTACACAGAAGCTTCAACAACTAATATAATATTTTTTCAGCACTTAGTTTGTCTACCTTTTTTCCTTTATTATATTTTCCATTATTTTCGGGAGACTTGCTTTCAGTTTTTTCAAGAAATCTGCAGGGATATCTTCCCACACCTTCAAAGTTCAGTTTAGAAGTAGCCTTTTCTGCTTCTCACGATCCAAGTAACAAATTTAGACTTATCAGTCCATAAAACCCTACCTCCCATCCCAGATGTCCAGTTTTGGTGTTCTAGTTTCCTATTTTCCGTCTGTTTCCTTTTCATGTAACAACTTCTTGACAGCTATACATCCTTTCAGAGTCAGAGTGTTGTTTTTTCACAGTGGAAAGATGGACAGAAACACATGAGGGCTTTTTCAGATCTGAAGCAAGAGTGGAGCTTGGTTTTCTCCTCTCTCAAAGATGAAAGCTTAATGTACTTTTCATCTGAGGGTGATAGTTTTGGTGGTCTACTAGGTCTTGTTCCCATTTTCTTTGTATTTTTGGAAATTCCTTTCCCTTTTCTTATGCAAGTGGATTATCTCATACATCATCTTCTTAGAAGTATATCTGCTTTAAATCTCCTTTAACCATTTTAGATGCACATGAGGAAAATAATTTGCAGGGCAGCTTAGGTGAGTTTGGGTAGTTGTTTGTGTGAATGTTAGTGTCTTTTTGAAGGGGAACATAATGTCAGTGGCTGCTTTGGGAGCAGCTTTTGTTGGGAGGACACAGCAGTAGCTGGTTAGTTTTAAGATTAGAAGGATGGAGGAGCTAAAGTGGCAGCACACAAAAGTAAACAGAGGACAAATTAAATACTGATAGATTTGATGTTATACTTGGTTGTTGGATACTGTTGTGTTACTTTTCTGGTTCAATATGCTGCTTGCTTTTCTCTAACACTGAAAAATTAATAACTTGTACTTAATGGCAATTTTGACTGGAAATCTCTAACTTTTGTACTGTAGGTATATTATGCCACATATGCAAGGATTAGAAGGATTTTCTTTTTTTAAGCATTGATGGAGATGTACTGATGCCACCATTTCATTGGAGACACTGATTTCATACACTGAATTGAGCATTTGCTGATATTAAGTACCCATATCAACATTTGTGTTGTAATCACTGCTTTTTGTATTTGCATGGCTATTTGCACATTGGGCATTTCAAAATGTGAATTCTTAGTTTCTACATACATGTGGACTGATTGAACAATGTGTTTTACATACTAAATCAAACTCTTATCTCAAAAAGTGTCTTGTACTGTTCTTGTTAATGTGCCTAAATATCATATTTTATTCCTGAGAGATGAGATGACACTGATGCAATACTGCTTTTTTTTAAGGTACTCAGGGCCAGTACTGATATAGTTAGACAATGCATCTACAAAGTTAAGATGAATCTCAATATATAAAAATTTATTTTCTTTTCTGTTTAAGACTAAGCAAACCAAGGGCGGATGATGCAGGGGAATACATGTGCGTTTACACCTTTGACATGGCCCCCAATGCCAATGCCTCCATCGAAGTCAAAGGTAGGGTATTTTGAGTATACATGCTGTCACTGACGCTTAATATGACTGACAGGAAAGCCCCTCTAGCACGCTCACAAAAACTCCAACAAAAATCTTTCAATTATGCCACACCATGGCAGGCTGACATGTACTGGAACCAAATGTGCTGCTGTGTTTGGACCAAAAGTGCAGGATCAACAAACGCTGAGAGCCACGTTAACTCTACACATTATGGCCCACTGCTTACATTGTAATACATGGATAGCACTCCACCATGTTTTCTCCATGATATAATTAAGAATTTGTGTCTATTTGTAAGTAGGTTCCCTTCATCTGGAAGGCGACCCTCTTAGAGAGAAACAGACAAATCTGACAAGAGTAATTCGCCAGAGCGATAAATCCAGACAGTCACGTATAAAAGTCTAGCTCTGAGTGCACTAGTGCAGACAGAGTGAGATTCAGTCTCATTAGAGTTTCCTCCACAGAGTGGATGACAAAGTGGCCTCTGGACAATGACTGTCATTCACAGAGAATGAGAGATTTCCTAGTTTGGACTTTATATTGACACAAAGAGGCAAATCGCTACTAGAACGTACATTGTACTACAGCAGAGGCTCTGAATCCCAGTCCTGCAAGCCCATTCACTGCAATGCACAACTGGGAAATCAGTAACTGAAAAGGACTCAAAATACTAGAGGCCTGTCAAATTCAGCCGTTATCACATGAGAAACAATGTTCTCTTTATGAATAGGAATTTGCTTTACTAGAAATGTTCCCTTTTGTCATAACTGTAATTACCATCACCATTCCTACCATTCATAAAAAGCATTTTACAAGGGCCCATGTCTTATTTCTATAAACCCTGAAGCCCACTTATGACATTTGTGTGGTTTTATAGCCCAAAACAGTCATAATTCATTTTTATTACCATTTCCAACCTCTTTTACCCCATCAAATTAAACAGGCTAACAGTTTACAATGATGCATATTCAAAACCACATTCTATTACTTTATAATCTCCTTTAATTTAAGTAAAGCATCGACCACATTAGAGCCGTGCAATTTCTCCAGACCATCCCAGACACAGAGGAATCACCCCCTGCGGCCACAGACCTGTGAAACACTGCACAGTACGAGCTTGCCTACATCCTCTTCACAGTTAAGCCAATTTGTTTTGACACCACCATCATGCGCACTGAGCATGCCTGGACCATTATGTCAAGGCTGTCTTAAGCGTTGCCTGGTTGCGTAATGCAATGATGCTGATGTCCGCTCAGCTCTGACTTTGCTGCTTCCTGCCTGGCAGATGACTGGACTCATGCTTCGTGTGCCACACTCCTCATTCCACGAGAGATCTTCCCAGTATGCAAGATAAAAATATTACAGCCTTTTCTGCTTATAGATCTAATCAGCAGCTGAGTTTGTCCCTAATTTCCGATGCATGTGAGACACTCAATTGAAATTATGTAGTTTAATGCTCATTTGATCACAGCTATTAAAAAGATGTCTGTTTTCGACTGACTGGATGGCAAAATACTGGCACTGGGCTTCTGACAATGCATCCGACAAAAGAAAAAAGCAAAAATCCATATAGAGCATCTATGTGACAGACAAGGGTGAGGCCTTCTAATCCACTGCCCAAAAACTGCTCAGGTTGAAAGCACCATGGCCAGCTCTGCTACTCTGCTATCCTGTGCTCCACCCCCAGGCTCTCATGTCCTTGGCACCTCTCTCTCTCCAGCTCTCAGCTCTGAGGGAACAGATGGAGGCTTGTGTGCTGGGGTGGGATTAAGGCCTGGATCCACTCCCAGCCGTTTCTAATGGCAGGAGTTTATTGTCCACGATGATAATCTGCCCCTGCGTATACATGTATTTTGGGTTGACAGTGAGAAATTTGCATTTTTAAATACGTTTTTTTCAGCATAATTTGATTTGGATGCACACCACAGTAAATAGACATATTACAGCTTTGTATACGCATAATCCACATTTATTCGTCTCTGTTATGTGAGACAAGATGTAAAACAAAATTATTAACACTCCATTATGAGAGAACGTTTTGACATTCATCCTGCGGAAGTGCGCGTTATTCTGTATTTCACATACATTTACTATCAGCCTCTGAATGCATTTTCCCTTCTCTGTCGACAAGAGCAAATTTTCTCCGTTCCATATATTGTTTGCTTGGCTCATTTCCTTTCGGTATGGGTTACACATGCTCTTTCCTTGTAGGGGAAAATAAAGAAGGACGGATAAAGTTTCCCTGCAAATAGCATTCCAATACAGCGATCAGCATCTCTGCAATGTTACCTATCTCTTTCTATCAATTATCACAAACACATAGACACACTTCCATTAGGGATCAGCGTTTGGAGGAAGGCCAGAAAGAGAGCGACACAATGGAGAAAGTACTATCTGTTTAGAGGGTAGGCGATTTACTCAAGAGAGAAGCATGTGAGGATAATGCACAGCTAAGCTCCCGCCCGTCATCCTATTCCAACCCCACACGCTCGCACACATACACACAATCCTCAGATGGCACGTGTGCACCATAATTAGAGAGCAGTGATGTCACCCGTGTCCCAGGCCACGCCCGCCACATCCTCCATGTTCACAGCAGAAAACACTCGCTCCAGGCCCCTTCCTGATCCTGCTTAATTGCATGGAAGGAATTACCGTAATTTTAAGGATTAGCAAAAGGCTGCAGCAGCTATCTGTCCACTACAGAGCAGTGTTTAAAAAGAAGACTGGTCGGTAGCCAGGATGTCACATGTTTAGGAGAACATTAACTAAAAGGAGCTTTTACTATGCAACACTGACCAACTCATGTTCTAACTAGACATCTGATGACTCAGCAAAGCACAAGATGTTCCGTCAGAAAGTACAGATAGCCTGAATTGAACACATGGGTTTTCATTTTAATTAAGAATGTGCTTCTAAGCCTGATATCTCGCCTTTAGTCATTTCCATGCCTCATAATTAAGTGGCTTTTTTTCTTTCGGAATGTTAGAGCCTGTAAAACTTCAGAATCACTGCCCATCTAACAGATGATGGTTGAATTAGCATTAAAGGGTAGAATATTGTAACCTTTCAGGGATCTGTGTTTTACACAATTTTGCAACATTAATTATTTTGATACACGCCCTCTCAAAATGAACCTGTGACTCAACAGATATAAAATATTTTAAATTAGGTCACTCACAATCATGAAATTTTAGCTAACAATGAACTGCAGTATAAATAATTTTGATTAAAAACAATTCAAATGGTCCTTTTTTGTTAACTGTAAACAGCTATCAGTACAAGCCTTAAGTGGCCAAACTGGCTAATTATCTTGCTTACTAGCTGTTGACACTCAGTAGCTCCTAAGTGATCACAGACATGGCTTGAGCTCAAGTGGAAAGTTAGAACTTTTGTTGCCTAACTAAAATCCATAATGTGCCTTTCATGCTTTCCTTTATCTACATGTATTTGCCTCAGTCTAAAGGATGAAAACACACCCAAATTATATTCTGTTAGCTGCAACATAAACATATTGGTCTTTTTTTTCACTTTTTTACACCATTTGAAAACTCCAGATACCCTCAATATTGCATCAAAATTTCTTGATGTACGGACTAACAAAAAATCTTGTTACATTAACTTCCAGCTCAAGTTAAAATGTTTTTTTCTTCTCTTACCATTTTGGAGATAAAAGCTTTTGTTCAGACAGTGACGGTATGACTGTGAAAGCTTACAACTGTGGAAAACTCTGTTCAGCTTAAATAATTGTGAATTATATATTATATTCAATTCATAGTTACACATCAATTGTGACAGGCCTGTGTAACATATAATATTGTCATCGTCCAAAAGAAAAAAAAAAATCTCTTTTTCATGTCTATTGGTCCCAAAATTCAACCACGCCCTTAAGGCATTTTTTTTTAACAATTAAAATTGATGTATGTTGTTTGGCTTATATTCAGGCGACTTTCGGTGGTGATTCTGAATATGTTTTAGAATGTTTTTGCCTCTTGTAAAGCTACCATTTGAGATTTGTTTTTTTTTTTGACCATGACAATTTGTAACACGTTTTATCAAATATGACTCCGATTATCAATGTGAAGCTGTAATACATTGTAAGGTATCTTCTCTTCTACATAGCGGCTCCTGAAATCACCGGTCACAAACGAAGCGAGAATAAAAAGGAAGGAGAGAACGCGCTCCTGTACTGCAAATCTGTGGGATACCCACATCCCATCTGGACATGGCGGAAAAAAGTCAGCCAGGGATCATACATAGTATGTACTGTGCTCTCCTGTCCGAGTATTACCTTTATAATATAATAAGGCTAGAAGTAGTCCTTTTAACGGTTAAGTGTAATTCTTTATGATTATATCATAAGGCTAGAGACTATGTATGCTATATTTTAACTATATTTTTTTACAATTAATAAAGAATGATGCAATTCTTTGCAGATTACTCTTCCAATACACATTGTTTTCTATAATTAACATTTTCCACTTTCTCCAGGATGTCGACAACAGTACTGGACGCTTCTTCATCACCACCAAAGACAATTATTCAGAACTGAATATTATAAATCTTGACATCAGCACAGACCCCGGCGAGTATATCTGCAATGCCACAAACATTATTGGATATAAAGAATCAATGTCAATCCTACGGGTGCGCAGTCACTTGGCCCCACTCTGGCCATTCCTGGGTGTGCTGGCCGAAATCATCATCCTGGTGGTCATCATTGTGGTTTACGAGAAGCGCAAGAGGCCAGACGAGGTGCCAGACGGTAGGCAACACAAACTTTTGTCTGTTTTTGCTAAAAATTGGCATGTGTTATATGATAAATTTGAGGACATGTTCATGCAGTAATGTCACAATTTCCTAGGAAATGCTAATTATCTGAAATCCAATGACATAAGCTGTGTTCTTCAAGCCAATGAGGGCATAATATCTCATCCATGGTGATATACACTCATCTCAAACTTTTTTTTTTTTCATTTTTAATATTTAATGTGCAGGTGTTCACTGAGGTTTTTTACATCTGCAATAGCCATTCTCAGTATGTTCAGAATAGATCTTACCGGAGTGTTTACATGTTTGCCATTGAGAAATTAAGAGGACAGAAGCAGTAATGAATATTAATGACAGCTGAGCCAGGGGAGCCCATTGGGAAATACTGACCTCTGAGCTTTAGCAGACATACCTGGTGCATAATCAGAGATCGGGGCGCTTTAACAGTCAGCTTAATCAGGAAAGAAAGAACTAGTTAGCTATGCAAGCTTAAGTGCTTTAAATATCAATTTCATCAAAACAAATCTTAGCAAATACTTCACACAGATGTGACCTTTGAAAGCCTGTGTGTGTGAGATCTTGTAGAGCTTTTCACAATTCTGTATTCACAAATCCTTTCCCTACATATTAGTGGTCGCACAAAAAAAAGAAATAATAACAGAAAATAATCTCAGTAAATACGACAGAGCCAGTGATTCAGTGCCTCAAACCCAGGTCTGTCTCAAAAAGCTAGCAGTCAGGCACAGATGCATGTTAATTTGACCTTTGCAGCTACACATTAGGGCATCTCAGAGCCAGGGGTGGTCTGTAGTTACCCTTTAAATGAGCTGAGTGATGCAATGTTTTATAAAGACAGAGATTTATAACAGATGATTTACAACCTATGGTCTCCATTAAAATTGTGACTATTACAGCATTTTCTCCATAACTGTATTACATGTAACAATGCTGTTCTGGCAGAAAACAGATTTCAAAATCTGTGCCATGTTTCATTAAGATGCTTCAACGATTTCATAACATTCTGCGCAATAACTACAAACCTCTATGTATATTGTAACACATGTAGAACGTGGCTTGGAGTTGTCATGTTGAAATAAGGATAGACATCCCTGAAAAGGATTTTGTCTAGAATGCAACATATGTTGCTCCAAAATATGTATAATCATTTCTACTGTGCATCAGTCCATTTCAGGTGAGCTCGAGCCCAGAGACTTCGGCAGACATTAGTAGTACAGTCTTAAATTGCATTTGTAGACGCAATTTGTCAAAGTATTCCTGGGCCCATGTGATTATATCCACCTCAGATGCACAATGGTTTTTAATTCAGTGCCATCTGAAGGATTAAAGGTCACAGGCATTCAAGCGCAGTTTTCAATCTTGCCCTAAACACAAAGAGGTTTCTCTGGATTCCCCAAACCTTTTGATGAGCGCCGATGTGCACCGCAGAGGGTGAAATACCTTGCAATTGTTCATTAAGCAACATTGGGCCTCATTCACCAACCATTCTTAAGAGGAAATTTCTTCTTAAAACCCACTTACACAGTTTTCACAAAGAGTTTGACATTTGCTAATGTTTTCTTATTTGGGATTTGTCCAAATTTGAACAGAATCTACGCACCCTTAAAAGCACAAAGATGTGAACATTTCTGCGGCTTAAGAACACGTCATAAAACTGACGTAGACATTTTCTTAGGACCTGTCTCAGGAACAAATTTAAGAAAAAACTTACTAAGTTATTGGTGAATGTGGCCCATTGTTCTTAAACAGTTGGACCGTTCACATTTGAGCCTCGATCCATCCTTGCTCATTAAGCCTTTCTCGATGCTCCTTTTAAAAGCATACATGTTGTTTTGAACATTTCACAATGTTCCTAGTCTTAAACTGCCCCTGTGCCAACTCTTTTGGAACATGCTGCAGGCATAAATTTCAGAATGAACGTATGTATTTCCAAATCACAATGATGCTGATAAGGTAAAACGTTTAATACCTTGTCTTTGTACCGTTTTCATTTGAATACAGGTCAAAGCACATTTACAAATCACTGTTTTCCTGAGTTTTCTGGAACTGAAGTTTGAAAACTTTAAGAAGCTATGGGGACAACTGGCCCCCTACAATCAAACAATGTATGGACTTGGAAATTTTTTCATGGATGATTTAAAGCTAAAATCTGGAATAAGCATGAGAGGCAGCGCAGTCTTTAGCATTGCAGACAACAGTGCTGTGGCATTTAAGACACTGAGTGATTTGTTTACCTTGCTCTATGTTAGCACAGTAGAAACAAGTCTTTGCTTTAATGCAACAGACAATTTCTGTCTTTAAAAGAGTCTCCCTAAAGGGTTTATCAGTGGGAGGTGGACATTTTTTATGGCAACATAAAAATTGTTCTACCATTCTACCATACACCAACAATCATTTGAGCATTTCAGATAAACCAGCAGATTATATTACTGATGTTATAACATTGTTCTGTTTGTGAGAAGCATTGTTTGATATAGTGAAAATGGAGCGCTTCGACTCTCACAGGGCTTTGTTCGAATGACAGTGACAGCTCTGAAACATGCAAAATGTATGTCTACCACGCACTGCCAGTCTTACTAGTCTAACTCTTACTTTTACATTATTCAAATGCATGCTAATATTGCAAGTTATAATTTCTAATACAGAACATAAATAAATGTATGACTAAATAAATAACTAGCTGGTTGTGTTGACAAATATTACATTTGTCAGATCTTGAGGTCACAGAATGCCCTTAGCAAGGCTAAACGAGGCCAGTTGTGCTCCACTGGTGGATAAAAGAGTCTGACAAATGTGTACTACAGAAAAGGAAGCACAATGATTTTGCTTGTCCAAATACAAATATACAACATTAGCTTGCAATCTATGCTGCAGTAAGTGAATTCAGAAAATGTGTTTTACAGTTTCAGTTTATGGTGTTATACTGTCTATTAAAATATAGCACCTAGGTGGCTTATGTACTTCGTAATGAAAGCTCTGGCCAGTCAAAAATACACATAACAGTGTATTTTTGTGTTTATTTGTTTATTTGCAACAATTACGATATAATTTTACATCTTACTCAGATCATTCAGCAACACCTCCATGTGGTGAGACACAGGCTTTAATAAACTGGGTTAAAATTGCTTTTGCTTTTTTTCCCCCTTCTTCAAATGGCACCGTTTTCTTTATTGGTGGTAAGTTTGAGAACGTGCATGTCTTTGGAAATTTTAGCTTCTACCTGTCTTCTGTTTGTTCAGATCATGATGTCAACACTCGTTTATCCAAAAATTTGATTGACAACTTCACTTTTATGTAATGTCAACAATATCAATTATAAAAGATTATGGTAGATTCATTTCTCGCTGGTGATGGACACTGACATCTCATTTTGAAAGACCGGCCTCTACTATGTCTGATGTTGGAGTATGCAGCTCTCTGCAACATTCTCTCCATCTTTCATTAGTCTTAAATTGTCTGTTCTGACAGGTGCAGCTTCACACTTATGAGACAGTAACAAATTCTTATAGGAAACTGTTGGGAGAAAAGAGGCAACATCAACATTTTCTGTACAAACATTTTATTCCATTGCTGTCTGTGATTAGGAAACATGCTGATCTAGAGTGCTTACAGTGAAACAGCAAGCAATTTATCTCAAGCACTAATGTGAATGATGATAATTTTAGGCTACTTTTATAAACTGAAGCAAGGAACACCATTATGGCACAAACAGAGATATTAATGGCTCTTTCCCCAACATTACAGCTTGGAGTATGAAATCAGACTGGTTAGGGAAATCCTTTGATCTAGTGAAGGTTATACAGCTAACTTTACATCATAACCAGAAAGCTGAAAAGGAAAATGCAGCATGCAAACCACTGAAACAACTGGAATTTCTTCATTGTTGATTTTTTTTTTTTTTTGCATGAACACTGTGTACTGTTTTGACAGAGCTCTGTGCTCTGAATAGGATTTACCCATGCGAGAAAGAGAAAGGGGGAGGGGTAGATTAAGGTAGATTATATCTGGCCATGGTCTTATCAACAGAATCAGAGATGAGGACGTAATACTCTGTGCTGTCATGCACAACCTTAAGGACCTCACTGTTATTTTACATTTCAAGGATTTTTCAAATACCTAGTATCTAGAGTTATCTAGTAAACCTAGTTTTACTTTTGAATACCTAGTATCTACATATTAAGTATACTGAGAAGCTGGTCTAAGAGATGTTTCAGCAACATTATTAAATGTTCCTCTGAGTTAATGACCAGAGTCGTTTCTGCACATTGCTTTGGAATCCCTTATTTTTTGGCAAAGGGTTTTTCAGTCTCACCCCAATGTAGTATTTCTTACATTTGCTTCATTTAATGGAAATTGTCTTAATTTAAAATCAAAACGGATCAACCCAAACTAATTCAAACAAAAGCAGATCAATATATTCAATTTCGATTACAGTTGTGCTTGGGTTTGCTGGAAATGGTTCAGTGTGTTGGAAACGTATTGCCTGTGTCTCAGTTAGTGTATTACATGAGTTTAGGCATCTAACAAATAACTGCCTGGAAGCCATGCTGTCCTGTCTCCAAATATAACCTCATAACCTGTTTGGTGTAATATGCTGTCGAATGCTGCTGCCCTCAGGCTGTGGATGCATGCTCTGTTTTCACAATCTCATACTAACCAAGTACCTCCATCCGTGTCTAAAATGGTTATGCACAGTCAGAACTTTATGCTTCCTTCTAGGATTTCTTATCTGCAGAACATTTCTATTAACGTTAAAACTGAACCGACTGCAATAGCAGATCAGAATTTGGTGAAGAAATTGCTAGGGATGCACTGATATGGGAATTGTGGGCCAATGTTTTTTTTATGGACATATCTGCTGATTCTGAAATATAAACATTTAAAAATGTGGGAACTGGGATCACATATACCTGGATTGGCATTACAGAGAAATGTAACATTTATTTGTAAGGGGCTATACAGTCAAATGTTAAATTCGGCAAATAAATAAACTATAATTGTGCATTAACATGCAGAAGTGTGTTCCTTGTACACTCTTGGAAAAAAGGTACGAAACCTTCTTGTCATTGGGGTGGTACCCTCAAGGGTACATCTCAGTATCTTTAGTCAGGGAACATAATTGTACCATAATCCATTACAATTATATTTTCTACATACACCCCGTCTCGTCCCCAGGCTTTTTATTTTATTGTTCTGTTTTAAAAAATTAGGTTATGAAAAGGTACAAATATGTACTTTTCACCTGGAAAAAATGTATTTAAGGTACACGATTGGACCTTAAAACCACTGTTGTACCTTTGAGGTACATTTACATTGTTTGTACCTTGATGAACGAAAAATGTACCTGCTCCGTGCCTGTATTTCTAACAATGTAGAGGATCTGAATTTATTTTGACTTAGAAAATCATCAAAACGTAATTTGACCAGAGCATCCAAACTTTTGCAGCATACATCACCGCCCTTAAAGTCAATCAAACAAGCTCTAATGTGATCGACTGAAAGTAAACCTCCTGAAACTCAGGAGATAGTACTGGAAGTGTATTTGTTATGCCACATCTTTATCAAGAAAATTAAATCTATAAGCTACAGAACACATGCCTGCTTTTTGATTAGGTTATATTTACATGCACACAGTAGCTGCAGTTCTTAGTTAACCCCTCAAAATACCAGTCTTAATACTAAGGCTTAATATTCAATAACTACAGGGACTTCAGTACAAACTGGTTGAGCTATTCTTAGGTTATAAGAATGGCTCTGGTCATGTAAGGGGTTAAGAAACTGGACAGAACCAAGATGTTTATATACAGTTGCAGGAAAGACTAGTCCATTTATAGTCCTGTTTACATGGATGCCAGTAGGGATGCAGACATCGATACATAAATATTTATAAAATGTATCTATATTATATATATAAAACTTAAGTAACTTTTAAACAGTGTAGTTACATTTACACAAGTACGTTTGCTTAAGTAAAATACTGATGGATATGTACTTCCCTGAGTACTCATATTATTAATCTACTTTTTTACATTAGGAATGTACTTTTTACTCAGTAACATTTCAGCTGTTCATATTTAGTTAGTAATTCCTCTTTTTGTATTTAATTTCATTATGCTTTGTTGGTGACAACATATGTAAGCTTTGGGGTCAATTATTTGAAGTCATTTTTGAGCTTTAGCACTTTTTCAGACCAAAAAAGGAAGAATAGAGCTTAATAAACTTCACCCTACGCTTCCCCTATACTGACAGATGCTGGATTTACTAAAATAAGTAATAGTTATTTGTACTGGGTTACAAATGCAGTAAAATAAATAAAACTCGTATTTTAGCACAGTAGCCTAGCAATGCCGAAATATTCTGCTTTTTATTCTGCTGCTATCAACATCAATCCGATATCATTGTGCATCCCTAGAATTCGCTAACTGTCATCACATAAATGTGAAATCACTGGCTGGCTCTAGGTTTTGGTGGCAGCTTTCAGAATCTACATAATTCTTGCCTAAAGCTACTTCAGTAGTGCATTAGTACTGCAACTGTGGCACCCTTTACAGATGTGACTTCAAGCAAATTCTTGCAGACTTGCTAGAAATTAAATGTAAGCTAAACTATAAAAACCCCAAAACATACAGATGATTCTCCATTTCATATGCTGAAGTAAAACAATCATTTTTTTTTTATCATATTTGCTGTGACGCAAACTTTACAAAAGAATATCATTACATAAAATGGTAGAATGGAGCACTTAAATAACTGAGAATAAGTTTTAGAAAAACACTGTTCAATTTGTAACAAACATTTTTTTTTTATCTCCTCCCCCTTTCCCCTTCTGTTTGCCTGCCCTGATGAAGATGATGAACCAGCTGGACCAGTGTAAGAGCCGAGCTTCATTTCTAGCATTCAAACACAAAATGCATTATGTTTATCATGACCTAACAAGAAAAATAATTAAGATAAACGTAATTTCAACTTGAATAAGAGACAACTGACATGAATGAAACTAAACCTTTAATCATTTATTATAGAAAGTCACTGTCTAGTATTCCAAAAGTTCTTTTTCCCCCTCTCGCAGGAAAACAAATTCCACTAACAACCACAAAGACAAAAACCTGAGACAGCGGAACACCAACTGAGCAAATAAACTTAGAAAAAGTGAGTACTGCTGCTAGAACAGCATCACCATTGAAGGATGTATAGCTACTGCCAGACAAAACTTTGTATCTCCAATTTTTTTTAATTTTTTGACATAATTTGAAAGTGCCACCTTTACATTGTGTTAAAATTTAATGACGAATGGACCAAAAGAGATGCTCCAAAATTACTTGGAATAAATAACTGTTGCATTAACTTCCATTAAAGGTTAGAAAGTTTTTTTTTTTCCTCCTGTACAGTTACCAATTTGGAGATACAAAGTTTGATTCCAACATTGACAATGTATTTTTTGATAACTGCATTTGCCCAGTTTTCATCAACAGGTCTTATTCAGCAAGCCTTTTAAGGAAATTTACTGTGGTTTTGACCTGCAAAGGTTAGATGAAGCCTAGTACTGCTCAATTTTTGACACAAACCAGCTGTTTCAAACAGCACTGAGCATGCATAGCTGGTACAAATGCTTAAATGGAATATACTACATGTATGAAAAAGGGATGCTTTATGGAAAGATACACTTGTGTAATAGTCATTACATAACAGAGATGCACACAAAAAGATAAAACAAAGTCTGGTTCCCAAACTTTCATATGCACATGTCAATAAGGAACTATGTGACCTGAACCACTCTACAGCTTTCTACATAACAGATCAGAAAATAACAATAAACCATTTTTTAAATAAGCATTCTAACACCTCCCTCCTTAATTTCTGTTCTGCAGAGGACTAACTGCACATCTTGACCGTATGAAGGTATCCAAGGGGAGAAGAACCTCCTGGCCATTTCTAATAAAGCATATCCTGCCTCACTTGGTGAACGAAACAACAGCAGCATAACACTGGCAGAAAAGAACAATAAGGACTGTCTTAAGCATGCCTTATTCAGTCTTATGGTATGTGAGTATGTGTGGGCACAGGTGACTAAATTCATTCAAATGGTGTACACATCATTTTTACTCTGTGCTGTTAACTTTCTCTTTTTTTTTCTTCATGTCATCCTAATGAGGTTATCCTTTTTCATACTTACATATCGTGTCGAATGCATGCAGTAACATAACCTAATAACAGTTCATTCTTTTCTATCGTTATTTATTTGTGTGGTGTTGCATCAAAAAGGATTACCCTACGTGCATTTTTTTAAGAAATTCAATCGGAGGAAAAAAAAATATGTTCACTTGAGTTCTTTGTACAGTTTATCATTGATTCATGGAATTTAAACAAAGGTGTTCTATCTAAAGCTGGACTGCAAGAGCCTAGCTGTGACAGGCAGAGCAGTATTTAATCACAGAGAACTGTCTATGTATTAAATAATTTAAAAAGATGGATAAATGTTATTTATTTTCTAGAGTTACATAGATGTCTTGTACAGGTTGCGCTGTAAGTGTTCAAATATTATAATAGCATATCTGTAAAAAGCAAAGAATATATCTTTTTTTTAAATTCTCTATGTCCTCCAACAAATGTTTCTTTTTAGTCAGATATGATTCTTGTACAGCATGGCTATTATCCTATGCAATATGTATTCATATAGATCTACTGAGAATTGTAAGGTGGGGAGCGTTTGTTTTGATGAATTTCACAGACTAAGCTTTAATGTTGTGGGATCATCAGGATGCAGGAATAGAATAAATGCACTGCTGTAGTTGCATGACTACTCCTCCTTAAGAAAATGGTGTATCAGTGTGTTGCAGTGCAACTGGACCAATATATAAAAGGTGGCACTTGCTGGAGCTAAAGCCATTACAATAATATGTGAGACCAACTGTTCTTTTTAAAATAAAGGCTCCAAAATTATGAATCAATGTGTCGTTTTGGTTGCTTGATTGAACAACTGGAACATCAGCGAACGACTGGCACATTTCCAGGTACATATTTCAGATGTCATATTATGAAAAATCAGTGCTAACACATGTAAGTACTTTTCACTACAGCAAAAACAGAAAAGACAGTACTGTGCAAAACTCAGACCATCCTCCCTGTATTTAGTTATTTATTTTTTTGACAAAGATGCAAATTATTTGTTTCTCAGAAGATATTTCTGAGGAGATTAGATATAAGATAATCCACTTGCATTAGGAAGGAAAAAGTCAAAGAAAAATATGTGAAAATAAAACAAAACTTGATTACAAACTGTTATGGCAATTTTACTCTCTTTGCCATACAGCTCAGTCAGGAAGACCGACTCTACTTGAGGCTCAAGGAAAGAGAAGTCAATTAAGACACTGAGTTATACGCATTCAGTCCAACTCTGGTTTATTGACACAGCTTGAGTAGTATTCATACACCAGTTGTCATATATCCCTACATCCTGTTATTCAGGTCTCTCTAACCTATGATGCACATTTATTCACTACCTCTCTTTCTAACCACTTCCCCATGAGTGTCAAAAGGGCATTTCCTTCTGCACAAACACATAGCCCCTCCTGTTCTTCCCTGTTCTTGTTCTGTCATTAAATTTAGACACAAAATCCAGACAGTATGTTAATCAAGTATCAAATGTCAGACAGTCATGTGCGAAGATTCAAAGATCAGGTTCAGATTCAAAACACACAAACTTGCTTTTTGCCATCACACAAATCATAGAGAAATTGGGGTTCCTAACAAGTGAGCAAGACCTGGTAACCAACCAAAATTCTCATCATCAGATAAACAGAACTTAAAACAGTCATTTTGGAGATATAAGACAAAAGCTCCACTCTTGCTTTAGACCTGAAAAAAAATCAGCAGGTGTTTCGCTGTGGGAAGACTCAACGCTATGGGCCTGAAAGCATGTGTAGCTGTCAAGAAGCTGTTACTGAGAAAAGGGAACAGACAAAATAGAAGAAAAGTTGCACTTGTCCACCAAACCTATCTGAGATGTGCAGTGAGGTATTATGGACTAACGAGAGTAAATCTGCAATTGGGATTACTTGGATCTTAAAACGGAGAAAATACAAACAACTAAGACTGAACTTTGCAGGTGTTTCAAAGAAGCAAGGAAAAATATCCCTGCAAATTTCTTTGAAAAACTGATGTTATTATATTTAGCTATGGAGGCTTCTGTGTAATTTCCTGTTAAACACGCTGCCGCTATCTGGACAACATCTCTAGTATGGTAACTTTACAAAAGAAGTTAAAAACCTTCTTAACTTTAAAAGGGAGGTAATGGAACACTTTTTGTGTGACTCATTATGAAAACTGAACTCAGTGTAAAGAGCAGCTGGTATTTACAATTTATTAAACAGAACAAAAGCATAAATAAATAAAAATAAATAAATACATAAATAACTGTTTTGTCGAATAGCGACAATATGTTTGTTTGTTTCCTGATGCAAACAATGAATAGCTTTAAATGAATCCCTTCATTCTTCAGTACTTAATAACTGGAAGTTCAATACATGAAAGGTGGTCTCTGACTTTTGCACAGAACTAGAAACCATGATAATGATCAATTTTTATTGTACCTCACTCCTGGATCAGCGCTTTCAGCTTGTTCTCCACCTCTTCTACAAAAGCAGGGAAACCACAGTCAAGCAGACAGAGGCGCAATAGGTCCTCCAGTTCACCAGGGGGCAGAGCAAAATGACGATATGCCATGGGCAGGGACAGCCCACGTTCACCCAGGAAATACTAAAGACAAAAGAAATGCTCTTGTTACTGCATGTAAAAATAGGGCCAAGTTTGTGGCAGTGAGCTCCAGGGAAATCTCCTCCAAATTTAACTCAAAGTGACATTCTGCTCTCATACTGTCATGTCCATGGACATCACAAAGATACCTTCAACTAAACAAAATAGTTATTACGTTCTATGCAAGCTACACAGAAAACACCACTCATTATTTAGTATCAATCACTGTGGACTCTGGATCAGTCTCCAGCAGTACCTGAGAAAGATGCTTGATGGACAAAGATTCCTCAGTAACGTCAGAGGCGGCCTGTGGCGCTTCTACTGGAGTCTTAAGAGATGACAAAAATAGATTCATTCATTACAGTCTCAGGTCTCACACTGAGGGGTTACCCAGCCAATCAATAAGCTCATTATTAATTTAACAGTCTCATCTTTTTCAATCCCTTTCATCCTCTGCTTTGTCTCTCTGTCTCTTCACATGTTTCAAATATTCATTTTGGTTCTGAGGTTCAGATTATATTTACTTTTTGCACAAAATTTCCAAAAACTGTCAATCCGCATAGTCAAATAGATATTGCAATAACATGGGGAGGTTCTGGAAGTCACTCTATTTGGCACATTGTTCCAAGAGCACCATCTAGTGGAAGCAAAGTCACACATCACATTTACTCATTGCATAGGCCCCTAGCGAGAAGCTATTTTGCTGGAAAGGCAAAGCACCGCACAGACTGCTATTTTCACTGCTCTAACACAACTGGTCTAGCTCATACTGTGCTTGATGATCATCTGATGAGGGTATTTTAGCGTGCTATGCTGTGGTCTTCTAATACTGGACTAAGACTAATTCTTAGACTAGAATTTGACATGCATAGCCTTTGTTCAACAAATTTTTAAATAATAACACTAATAATATTCATGAGTGACAGTAAAATACTTAATCCTTTGAACTTTTATTTTTCAGTTATTAATCTTAAGACTAATAATTTAGTAACTACTGTGAATTATCTGAAGGGATGCACTGATAGGGGAACTGCGGGCTGATAATGATATCTGAAACTTAATGTACATAACTGCCAATACTGATACATAAACATTCAAGAAACATAAAAATTGATACTAAATCCAATTGGAATAGCATTACAGAGAAATGTATCACTAATTTCTGTAGGGTTACAAATGCAGTAAAATGAATAAAATGCTAATATTTTAGCAATAGCCTAGCGTCCCTTAAATGTTCTGGTCTTCCAGAGTACAATAAATACATCCTTAAATGTCAGTTTGAAATATCAGTTGAATCTAAGCATCTGTCTGACGCTGACTGATCTGATTTTATCATTGTGCATCCATAATTATTTGGCAACTACTATAAAATAAATACGTAAATTATGTAGTTATGTGGGTGATGTACTGAACAGACCATTGAGTTTACGAGTTGACAGCTGTATGCAAAGGTTTAGACACCCCTGGACAAATATATTTGTTGATTTTTGAGGTAAACACAAACTGCAGTTGAAAATGACATTTTTCTGCAAATGTTGTATGCAGTTGAATGTGTTGTCAAGTTACTTTATATCCGATTCATTTTATAAATAGAGGGAAAATAAATAAATAAATAAATAATGTACTGAAATAAAAAAAAAATGAAATAAAATATTCATCTAGGTGTACCCTGTTCTGGTTATGGAGTGCCTTATTCAAGCATATTTTGGTGATTTCTGTGCTTAAACACCTGCTTTAACTTAGCAGTTAGTTACCAAGTTTAGAAAGTGTGCTAGAGCACAGACATCAAACTGTGCTGGTCTCCAGCCCTGGGCTAAAAGAATCCCACTGCTGAATGGAGGCTGAATGGCTAAACAGCTACTACTAGACAAGCTTCTGGTTGTGTTTGAAATAGCCTACTGCATACTGCTCATGTACTGATTGTGCCCAAATCTAGTAAGCAGAAAGAGGGGCTTACTACATACTGCTCAAATGCTGACTGTCCCCAGAAGTCTTAAGAAGGAAGAGGGGCTTATTATATACTGTCCATGTACAGATTAGCCATGTCTCAAAGCTAAGGAAGCAGCTGAGGAAAGGTGCATTCCTCTATTGTTACGCCACTGAAGAATGTCCTGTTTTGTGGGATCCATTAAATGTGGCAAAGAAATGTGTCCTTCATTTCTGAGAAATCAAAGGATGCAGCTGGTTTAACCTTTAAGACCTTCAGTCACATACAATCCACCATGTACAGTCCAAAAACATTTGAAAAACACTGGATATAGCAGTGAGTGGAAGATGCTGTGGCAGTAGTGTTTCTGATGAAATGTAAATTAAAATTTAAACTTCATTTACGTTTTTTTTTTTTTTTAATTGCAAAATTTAAACATGTAGCACTGCCTATGCCAGTTAGCTGTGACATGTTAGTACAGTTTGCTCAGACTATCTCAAACATGCATGAGTGACAGCTGAAGAGGAGCCTTTGTATGCCAGGGATACGAAGGTCTCTGCAACCTCTTTGCAAACACTGTGAGACATGTCTACTGTGCTCAAAAGTAGCAGTAGAAGGAAGTGCTTACTACATATTGCTCATACATACACTTAAAAAAGATAGTTCTTGATAGGTTCTTTAGTAAAGAAAATAGTTCTATATAGAACCATGGACACTCATAGAACCCGCTGCATGATTAAAGGTTCTTTGCATCATGAAAGGGTTCTTTAGAAAGAGACAAAGCACAAAATAGGGTTCTTCTATTGTTAAAAGCCTGACATTGTAACAATACAAGAGCCCTTTTTGGTGCTATACAGAACCCTTTTCAAAATGGTTCTACTTACAGCCATCTACATTCTGAAGAACCCTTTCACAATGCAAAGAACCCTTTAATCATGCAAAGTGTTCTTTGAGTGATTCTGTATAAAACCATTTTCTTCACTAAAAACCCTTGAAGAACCATCATTTTTAAGAGTGTACTGATTTTACCCAAAGGTAGTTAACCGAAGGAGAGGCCCACTACATTTTTTTTTTTTTGTGGATTGTGACCCAAAAGTATCAGGTAGCAGGCAAAACGTGACTAACAAGAGTTTCCACATTAGACCAAAGACATTCTGGCTAAATATTCTAGTATGCAACCAGGGTAATCTTCATAATAAACTGCATGCTATAATGTAATGCAGAAAACAGCTAGCAACAGTTGCTAAACAGAGATTTGAGGGCTA